TTGATGGAATACTTGCGGGTCAACACTTGGAGCGAAGACTTCTTGGTATGCGGAAGACTTGCAAATCACCACTGAAGAGCAATGATTCTCTATGTATTTATGTCTTCTTCTTCCTCCCTTTTTGGTCTTATGAAGACCCTTTTATATAGTTGTGAGCTATAGTTTTTGGGGTATTTCGATCTTCATATAATTTTCGAGGACCTTGGGCTTGAAGAGCATAAGTTGGGCTTGTATTGTCAACTTAATGGACTGACCAAAATGTAATTTGAACTTTATTTAAGTCATATACTTTTACTTAAATATTAATTTAACTTTATTAATCAGTAATTTGACTTGATCAATATATCATGAATTTATGAATTAATCCAAAAATTAATACTCATGTATTTATCAATAAAATTTCACTGTCTACCATAGTCATGCAATAACATTTTCTCTTTGACTCGAAGGAAGGAATAAAGTTTAACTTAGCCTGCTAACCTTGTTCAATATAATATTCTTAACTTTAACTTGTAATAATTACTTTTTGCTTTTCTATTCTCAAGAAGAAGGAAAAAAGAAGCTACGTATAGTAACTAGTAGTTGACAATCAAATTAAGAGAATTTTTGTGGATGCAAAATTTCAGGCTACTCAGAGCCCTTGAATGTATTAATTATAGGATGAAACAAATTAACTAAAGGAGGGTATCATCACATTTATAAACTCTTAACATTCAACTTTTTCTAAAAATTACCGGAATACCCCAACAAGAAAAAAAAATGTTAAACATTAAGCAAAAGCAGATGCAGCCTCTCTTCTCAAATCTCTGTAGAATCGAGAAATGAATTCATCAGCTTTCTCATCAACGTGGCTAATGATGTCACCATTATCATCAGCTTCTCTTAGTGGAAAGGCGAGTCAGTGATCCTTAATTGCCTCACCGTTGGAGTCCTTCCGAATCCAGGCAAAGCAGGTGATGCTGTTTCGCTCTGAAGCATTTCTAATGCCTTCAAAACAGCAGCGTTCATCATTAAAACGTCGTCGTGTTCAGGCTGATTATGCTTATTAATGCGCTTGTTGATGTTGAAGGGGAGGTGAAAAGCTGGGCTGTTACTGCAGCTGAACTCGTAATACTCTTTTGAAATCGATTGATGAATATTATTATTATTATGGCCCTGAAACATCAGATTTTGGAACGCGGCCTTTCCAGCAATCTTACCACGTTTCATTAATAAGTTGAGATCGAACATTAGTTTCCTCTTTGATGATAATCCTTTTCTCAACATGAAATAAGCCACACGAACTATTTTCCAGAACTTTTTCCCTATAACTGGCAATATTTTTTGATCCATTTTCACGTACGGAGAATTTTTTTATTTTTTTTGAACTGTGAGTTTTTGTTGGTTAACTTGAGAAGGAGAGACAAATATTGATGAAAGCCAAGAGAGAGCTTTAATTTAGAGGAGAGTTGTTTGTTATTGTGGTTTATGAGAAGCATTGAGTGAGTGGTATATATAGGGGGATTTTCATACAGAGGAAAAGGACGCAGTGAAGTATTCTATATATTTTTAAGTAGACACGTTTGGGCACGGAATAGACCACGTATATTACTTGTTGAGATTCAATTATACTATTGCTTCAATTATTAGAGGAGGAAGTAGTCTTTAAAGTCACTGTCACCCATGCTTTTCACGTGAATTAATTGCAAATTTGAGGCCAATAGCAAGTAACCTCTATATTATTTTCTTAATACCAAACACACTCTTTTAAGTCTTTATGGTCTGCAAGGAAAAGGAGTAAAGGCAAAAAAGGGGGTGGTGGGGCCTGAAGGTACAGTTATCCAAATGTGACATTCAAATTATTGAAGAAGGCGTTTGAAATGTAACAAACAATTTCTAAAAATAACTGCATATTCAGTGTGAGTAGAGGATATAATTATGTGTCTTCAAATCTATTCTATGGTACAACAATAATTGTTAAAGAAAGATGAGGATGAATATGCAAGACGTTACATATTAAAAGGTCTCTAGCTTTTAAATTTTTTAACAGTTTGAAAACTCCTCGGTTCATTTTTATCTATCATTAGACTTTGATCAATATTTTACGTTATATTTTTTTATAATATTAATATAAGAATGAATATCATTTCTTGTAGTTTTCGAACATTTAAAATATTGAATGTAATATAATTTAATTTAGCTTCAAAATTAATCATATTAATTCTTATTAAGTGAAATATAACAAGTAAAAATAGACGAAAAAATATCATACAAATGTACATAAGAGAGATGAAGCAAGTCCCACGTGTCTTCATATAATAATTCTAATTACACCTCTATTATTTACATGTCAATCAGCTAAAATGGGGCCAATAATTAAAATTCCTTCTATAAATCATTAAATTATGACTGATTTGTTCTTTTTGCATCTGAACATTCACCTTAAGCGTAACACGAAACTTAATTAATGATATTAAACAAGTGCTTACGTAACTTAATTGATAAAATCAAATTAATTAGTCCAATAATTTGATACGATATTTTTCTAGAATGCATATAATTTGTCATGTGACCATAACGTTGAACTACTCTTATAATCACATTTTCTCTTGGACTAGAAGGAAATACAATATGCTTTACTTCAACTTATAATTATTTCTAATTTCTCTTTTTTGCTTTTCTTATTTTCAATTAAAAAAAAAAACGTAACAAGAACACAACAATCGAACTAAGAGAGAATTTTTGTATTTCAGGACTACTAGCTACTCACAGCTTTTAATGTATTCTTTATGTGTAAGTTTTAAAGTTTGACACATTTGGGCACGGAGCAAATTATAGAACTTCTAAATAAACAAAAATTAGAAAGTAACTCCAAAAGCAAAAGCAAAAGCCATACCCAACACAAAAGAAAATTCAGCTACTTTTGCTGGAAGAAAGAGGGATACAAAAGAAGTGGTCAATTATTATAATCTTACCTAAATTCGTAAATCAAATTTGTCTTTACAATTATTTTTCTTAATTAATTTTCTAATGATAAAGCATATCTTATACTCTTAAGAATTTCTTTGATTCACTATTGGCTCCCAAAAGTTCAATTAAGTTTTGAATATTCAAGCAACCCATGAGTTCTATATACTTGCAAATAAAGTTTGAGAAAATAATAACAATGTGTTATTAACTCCCTCACTTTTTCAACTACGAGTATTCTAACCCACATAGTTTCAACAAAACATTTTCCAGCAAATACGTAGATAAATATGCAATAGAGTTTGATGAGTTGAAACAACAAAAATCAACCATCTAAAATGCAAATAATAGTCTTTTATAAGAGATAAAAAAACATACTAGACAAATATAAGGGAAAATATCGATACCACAATTCAATAGACTTTTCAAATTAAAATATCGATGTTTCAATTTTCCCTAACAAAATTATTGCAAAAATATAAACCTATTAATAGTTGTGTCCACGACCGGGGTGGCTCAAGGGACATGAGGTAGTAAAAAAAACTTTATTTTAGGACATCTACATTTTGAGAGCTTTAAAAAATTTAATAGTTAATTTTGTGAAGTTAATTTTTCTTTGATAATATTAATGATTGTAAAATAACAAGTCCAAAATCTAAATTAAAAAAAGGAAAACTATGTATATAGAAATATTTTAAAATTTTAAATTAAATTACTCAAATTTTCATAATAATAAATAATGTTTTTATAATAATATTCAAGTATTATATTGAGAACACATGACTAATATCGTGTTATTTAAATTATTCTTTATTTTATAAGTAATAATTTTACCATGTAAATTATTATCATAGATTAATACTACACTAAAAATCATAACTATGAAAAACCAAGAAAAGGTAATACAAATTTTTTTTTATATATGTCTATATACCTACTGCATACTAAAATTTGATTTTAGATCACTAATTTTATTAAAATAATAATACATAAAATTTAAACATGCATAACAAAAATTTACACTAAAAGCTAACATCCAAAAATCCACAAGAGCACCTTAGAAAAAATGCAAGCAAGAGTATCAACTTGTAACTTGCATTGAGACAGTGTATTAATGTTTCTTATTTTGGCGTTTGTTCAAATTAGATGACATTATATTTACCTCGATAGTTTTGAATATTTTAGAATCAGTTTTAAGTTCTAACTCGTAAAAGTATTGCAAATTTTTTACTTGAATATTGAATATGAAACAAATTATTATCAAAATTTAAAAGAAATCAACTATTAAGTAGGTTTTCAATATCACAATCATTATAACAAATATATGCTTCACGGTTCATTAAAACAAGTTATGATTATTCAGAGAAACATATGGATTCTGAATCTATTGAGATGACTCAAGAATTTTGCTCATTCGATTACGTTAGTCTTGGACAGATTTCGTCAACGAAATTTTTCGATGAGCTTTCTGTTAAACATTATATAAACGTTTTCTCTCATGTACGATGTACGGATGGTTTTGCTTCTGTCATTTGCCAATTGCGGCAATTCTCTGGCTAGAATAATTTTTGCAAATATTGCCATGAAAATCATAAGTGAAATCTGAAACTTCCCAGTGTCATTTTTTACCTATATGGTCAAAAGTGGGATATTTTTAAAATTTTCTCTTAGACATGTGCAAGAATCCAAATATGTATTTAGACCAAATTAACAACTTAAGCTAAAATTGAGGGTTTGATACTGTGAAATTCCAAAAAAAGAAAATTTTGTTTTACATGAAACAAAAAAATAATCCAAACTCCCATTAAGGTAGGTTTGATAGGCGGGTAACGTTTAATTAACTCCGATTCAATTATGAATTTTAGATTAGATTTTTATCTTGGCAAAGGAATAAACTTAACTTTCTAATTTGTCCTAACCGCGTTTAATATAATAGGCTTTATTTTAACTTTTAAGGATTTCTAATTTAGCATTTTACTCCTCTTAATTATTTTCAAGTTAAAAAAACTCAAGTGTAACAAGTAGTCGACGATTAAATTGAGAGTGAATTAATGTGAATGCAGAATTTCAGGACTACTCACAGCCTTGAATGTATTAATTATGGGACGAAATTACAAATTATCATCACCTTTATAAACTCTAAATTTTTTATTTTTTTTTTGAGTTTCTCCTCTAAGAAATTCTGGAATATCACAACAAAAAAATTAAGCAAAGGTGGAAGCTTCTCTTCTCAAATCTCTGTAGAATCGAGAAATGAATTCATCAGCTTTTTCGTCTACGTGGTTGATCATTTCACCGTTATCAGTATCTGATGTTAGAGGAAAAGGCGAGTCAGTGATTCTTAATTGCCTCACCGTTGGAGTCCTTCCAAATCCAGGCAAAGCAGGTGATGCTGTTTCGCTCTGAAGCATTTCTAATGCCTTCAAAACAGCAGCGTTCATCATTGAAACGTCGTCGTGTTCAGGCTTACTAATGCGCTTGTTGATGTTGAAGGGGAGGTGAAAAGCCGGGCTGTTACTGCAGCTGAACTCGTAATACTCTTTTGAAGTTGATTGATGAATATTATTATTATTATGGCCCTGGAACATCAGATTTTGGAAGGCGGCTTTGCCAGCTATCTTACCACGTTTCATTAGTAAATTGAGATTGAACATTAGTTTTCTCTTTGATGATAATCCTTTTCTTAGCATGAAGTAAGCCACACGGACTATCTTGTAGAACTTTTTAGCTACAACGGGCAATTTTTGATCCATTTCTCTGTCTAAAAATTCACGTATAGACTTTTTTTTATTTAGTGATTGTGAGTTTTTGTTGGTTCACAACTCACAAGAAGGAGAGACAATTATTGATGAAAGCTAAAAGAGAGGAGATGGAGTTTGGTGTGGTTTTATGAGAAGCAATGAGTGAGTGGTATATATAGGGGGATTTTCCTAAAGAGGAAGAGGACGCAGTGAAGTATTCTAATATATTTTTAACTTTTTAGAATTGACACGTACATTTAGGCACGGAATAGACCACGTATATTACGACGACTTGAGATTCAATATTATATTGCTTCAATTATTAGAGGAGCTGATTTTCTAGATCCAGAGTCCTTTTAAGTCACTTTCAAAGATTTTTCTCCCTCTCCTTTCACATGAATTAATTGCAAATTTTACTATATTATTTTCTTAATAGCAAACATACTTTATGGTGAAAGGAAAAGGAAGAGAGAGACTAAAGAAGGTAAGTGGAAAAAAAAGGGCTTGAAGGTACTCAATCATAGAGGAAGGAGTTTGAAATGTAAGTTAAACAAAACACAACAAACAATTTAAAAAAAAAATGCATATTTAGTATTGAGTAGTGGATATAATAATTATGTATGTCCTAATCCATTCTATGGTACATTAATAATTGTGAGAAAGATGAGGATGAATAGGCCAAATTTAAAGGTCTCCAGCTTTTACATTAATTAACACATTTTCTGAGATTGTATATGGCAGTATTGTACTTCACGATTTTAAATTGAGATCAATGATCGTTATTTTTAGTATTCTTCGTATAGTTAATTTTGAATATTTAAAATTTAATTTAATCAAATTAATTCTTTTAATATTAAATATGAAAAGTCATTAAAGAAAGTATTATCTCATTAAACAAATCCTACAAGAATTCCACAAGTTTCATAAGAGAGATGAGTGTGCTGCCTTGGCTCAATTAATTTCAATAGCGTACGAGTGCAAGTAACCCTTCATAGGAGAAAAATCCACGTGGCTTCATTATGGCCTAGTAATTACATTTACACCTCTATTATTTACATGTCAATCACCTAAAATGAGGCCAATGATTAAAATTTATTCTAATAATCATTAGAGCTTTGATTGATTGTTCTTTTCAGTTTATCCAATTTCACCCGGACATTCTAACGAAGAACTTAATTAATGATTTTAAACAGGTGCTTAAGAAATTTAATCGATCAAATTGATTGACTATAGAAAGCTCCTTGTAATTACATCCTTCACTAAATACAATAATATAATTTTTTATTTACAAGTTTAGACTTTGGCTTTTATAGGTTTTATAATTTGAATGTACAATGGTTATTTACATCAGAGGTCCAAAAATAACTAGGTCCATTTTAACCGGATCAAATACAACTTAATTTACTCTTCAATAATTTAGAATAAAAAAATCACTAATAAATGTTTCAATTTTCAAATTTGAACTTGTAATATAGAAGTACATTTGATAACAATTGAACCTATTTAATTTAAATCTTGAATACCTCAAGAATTACTTTTCTTTTATAAAAAGTGTGCATGCATAAAATTAGGCAGCTTTATTTATGATTATTATTGCCCACTTACGTAAAAAAAAAGTACTACAAATTGTAAGACTTCTATAAATAAACTCAAAAGAGAAAGCAACTCTAGAAGCAAAAGCCATACCCAACACAAAAGAAAATTCAGCTTCTTTTGGCCCGGGGAAAGAGGGATACAGAAAATTCAGCAATTTTCACATATAGCAAATATAAAAATTATATTTGTGTGTTGTAGCTATAGTTAATTTGCATAATTGCGCTTCATAGCAAATTTTATGTTTGCTATGGAGCTTTTGATTTGTATAATTTGCTACAAACATCCAATTTTATACAAATTGTTTAGTTTTGTATAAATTCATTTATACATTGTAATTTATATAATAAGATATATATTTGTATAATTATAAGTGTATAAGACGAAAATATATGTATTTGTATTTGTATATACATTTTTCTCTCGCTTTATACAAACACACACGTTTTATACATTTTATACCGAAATGTATAAAACAACTAATTGTATATCGAATCAGATGGCAAAAAAAGTGGATGTTTGCTGCGAATTACAATTAAAATAAACTATGGCTATATCATTTAATTTGAATTAATAGTTTGTTATTTCATACAATTTTCCCTTATTAAATTCCACAAATCTAATTTCTCTTTACTTTTTTTTTCTTAATTAATTTGCTAACAATAAAGACATATATTATTAGTAAAGACTCACTTTGATTCAGTTGGCACCCAAAAGTTCAATTAAATTTTGACTATTCAGGCACCCCAAAATTTCTTTACTTGCAAATATAAAGTATGAGAAAATATTATAAAGTTGTTCCAAGTTCAAACCCACTCAAAACGTGACCATGTACCATGCTATTTGTTGCGCCGTAATTTGACTATTTCTTTAGAAAAAATCACTTTTTGAAATGTTCTAAGTATAAAATAATTTGAAAAATACTTAGAAAGAGTCGCCACTTAATTTTTTAAAGAAATTAAGAAAACTTATAAATTTCAAAGATTTAAACAGAAAAAATCATTGAAAATACCAAAGAAGGTTCGAGGTTCAATTTACACTTCGAGAAGGGTTTAAGCATTCGAAGTGTCCGCTAACATGCGGTTGACCTGCGACTTGACTAAAATATATTTGACTATTTTTTAGAAAAAATAATGATTTAACATAAAAAATAATAACTTACAATATATTCGATTAACTTTGAGAAAATAATTAAATAAATGACTCATTTTATTTCATTTTCATTTTTTAGAGAAAGGGGTCAAAAATGAAATACTTGGCTTGAAATAAAAGTGATTAGAATAAAACTAGATTAATTAGAATTTATTTAATTCATTTTAAAATAACTTAAACCAATTTAATATATTAAAGCATGAAGATCATTTTAAATTAATTGAAGAATAAAAGTTTTGACTAACGAGAAAATGACTTAAGTAAGTATTTATAATAATATTTTACATTATAAGATTAACTAAAAAAAAATAGTTAGATAAAGAATAATTTTTAAATTTTTGGAAAATTGGATCTTAATTGAAACAACTTGGTCAATTAGGACTTTAACAAAATTAAAATTTATTTACGTCATTTTTTAGAAATAATAATTTGAACCAACTTGGTAGACAAACCAAGACACTATTTTAATCTAATTAAAGATAAGTGAAAGTTTTTGACTAAAAATATTTGAATAAGCATAAGAGTTGATAAAATGAATTTTTTTTAAAGAAACTAACATAAAGAAAATGGTTTATCTTTTGGGGAATTTAATTAAATTAAGTCGCAAATAAAAAAAAACAAATAAATAAATAATCACACAATTAAATAAGTTAGAAATTGAATTTGGGCCTCCTTTTTGGGCCAATTTCGCTGTAATTTCTGGGGATTTACTCAATCCCGTTTTTGGTATACAGCTGATGTATATCAGTGTATATCGGCATGTATATCAGCCCTTTTCAGGTATTTCCTGCTTCCAAACATATGTATTCCGCCTCAGCCCTGTGTTTTTACGTTTTGGGCCTGAATATCAGCGTATACCGCTGTATACAACATGTATACAACCCACTTTCGACTTTTCGGGACCTGTAATTTAACTTTCCGGCAACTTGAACAAGATGAGGCTGACTCGAAATAATTCATCGATATGCAAGGGTGGAGTCGTAAGAGAACTCAGATTGATGTCACATATAACAAAGAAGAAGAGAAAAAACAAAGAAGAGGATTAGTGTCTATACTTGTACAAATTAAAAATAGAACAACACATCATCCATGAAGTCATTATCATGATCTTACTGCCCAAGATAGAAAAAGAACAATGCAACAAGAGAAATGAATTGTAGAGCACCAAGAATCAATTGTAATTTAGTGCTACACTACCTATTGGACTTAAAATTAAGAGACAATTAAATGACGAAAACAAATTAAACAAGTAGGAGCATTAATTCTTACTACTTTCTTCACTGGAACAAGACCAAAATAAAATCACGTGAATACCAAATCAGTCCATATATACATCACCAAAGGCATGCTTGACAAGGGTAACAATTCAATACATGCTAACGGGAATGCTTGAATCGCATAAAAATGAATTAGGAACGGACATACAATGACTCTAACACATACTCAAAACAACTACTAATATAGCCAAAATAATTGTAGAGAAAGAGAGAGCAAGCATGTGAACTCCTACATGTTGGACCGAGAAGGGAGCAACCTAAGACATACTCTTAAAATGCGACGAAAAACTCATTGATTCGGATAAGAGTCAGTGAGTTAAAGCCTTTATCACAATCTAGCCTAACCAAACACATACTAGTCAAAATAAATGTTGACTCTAGCTTATTCATAGTTAGGCAAGAAATAAAAAAAAATAAAAAAAATCAGACAATAACAATTAAATCTTCAGCAAATGGGCTACTGCTACATCACCAAAAATAGCTAAACAATATACAAATCATGCTAAGAAATATACTTTCCAAAGAGACCAACAAGATGACAAATCTTAAGGCAGCACAACAATTCCTAATTAATATACAACAGCATAGCATATGCTTCAGCCTTGCAACAAAATCATTCGATGCCTACATATATATTTGAATGCTAAGACCGAGAACAAATGAGCAACCACCTCTAATACGTACCCAACTCTCGATTAACCATGAGAAGTCAAACACACTCAAGCGATCTCAAAATCAAGAAAAAAAATCAGCCGATATGAACAAATACAATTTATTCGAGAAGAAAGGAAGAAAAGTAAGAACAAGGATATTACCTTTCCCGGAGCAGCGATACTAGAAACAATGAGCAGCGGAGAATACCGACTTCTTCTCCCACGAACTTCGAACACAAATAGCAGGCTGAGAAAATCCGAGCGGCGGGATATCCTCGAAAATTAGAATCAGAAAGCTAAATATATCGTTTTGAAGTGCAAAAATGACTATTGCCTCGGAACTAAGCTTAAAACTTGTCAAAAAATCCCATTTTCCCAAAAAACTCTCTCCTCCTAATTGTGACCCAAAGAGACGAATATATAGACGGAAATTAGTGTGAAACGATTGTAATTTGAATTTT